TAAATACTACTAGTGTATTGGAGTATTTAAAAAATTTTCAACACAATAAATTTTTTTTTAGTAAAAATTAAAACTAATAATATAAATATAGAAAAAAAAATTTTATCCAATGATGGGATTCTAAAAGTATTTCGAGTAGTGGTGCTTTACGAAATCCCTAGGTGAGAAGATTTTTTTTAAAAATATTACCAGTGTATTGAAATATTTATAGAAAAACTTCAATATACTAAAAATTCCTTTTTTCTTCAAAAATTTAAATAAAAATAAAAATCAATAAAATTTATGAAAAAGAGAATAAAATACATGCATCAACATATCAGCATCTTGCATTGCATGCTTAATAAAGTTTTTATGAAATGTAAATTCAAGTCTCCAATGATGAGGTTCTAAGGTATTTTGAGAAGCGATGCCTAAGAAATCTCTAGGTGAGAAGGAGTTCTTATAATGTTACCAATGTACTAAAATATTTTAAGAATTATTTCAATAAAAAGGGTTATAATTTATTTTTCTTAAATAAAATTTGAACAATAAATATGGAACAATAATAAAAGAAAAAATCAAAATTTCAATAAACAAAGGAAACCAAGAAAATTATTTTTCAAACACAAAAAATAAGACTATTTTTATCAAAATCAACGGATAACACGTAATTAATTGGTACCATTTTAAACAGGCATGTGGGGGTACTAATCTTTCCCCACATGTAACCGACTTTGGAGCTCAGACTGTTGCGTAAACCATAAAATTATTTTTTTAATAAATTTTAATTAATTTTAAGATTTCATTAAAAGAATATGTTTTAATAGGTGGCCTATCACACCTAGCCAAAAAACAGATGGTATCCTTCATTCTAGTAGCTATCGATGAACAACTGGTCAGGACAGCTATACAATTTTGGGATTCATCCTATAGATGCTTCACTTTTAATCAGAAGGATTTGGTGCCAACTAGTGAAGAGTATTCGATTTTGCTTGGGATAGAACTATAATGTCCAAATAAAGTGTTCACCCAAAAATTGAAATCATGTTATCGTAAAAAGTTGGCCAAGCTTATGGGAGTTAAAGTAGAAACTATTGATTCCTTCGCAAAGCCTAAAGGTGAACATCTCAGGATCTATTGGAACTTTCTTTGAAACTTTATTCAAGGGCATTTAAATGATGATCAAGAAATGGTTGTATTTGCTCTAGCATTGTATGGCATGGTGATTTTTTCGAAGACTTTGGGTTACATTGAGATAACTGTGGTAGATTTTTTTGAGCAAATTGAAACCCAAACAATTAATTCTACACTAGTAGTTCTGGCTAAAACCATCAGGTCATTAAATTTTTATCGACAGAATGGAAAATGACCATTTTTAGGGTGTGCACCGCTATTATATGTGTAGGTTAAAAGTAATTTCAAGTGCAAGAAGAGTGCATTCTTAAAGTTGTATTTTCGAAACAAAGCACTAATCGAAGAGTTCTGCAAAAACCAATGGCCAACATTAAAGATTGAGGAAGAGTGGGTTCTATTCTTACGAAGGCTCACTGGGGTTGAAATTGAATGGATGGCACCTTGGATACCTCGAGTGCTTTTGTTGTATCATGGAGAAAATAAGCCATGGATACCGCTATTAGGGTTATTGGGTGTTATGAGTTACGTTTCATTGATGGTGCTTAGGTAATTTGGTGCAAAGTAGTTTGTTTGTGCTACTCATGGCCTGGTTCGGGTAGAATTCATTTACGGGGAACCAAATCCACCAAAAACTTCAGAGCAGTTGATCCAAGCATAGAAGAAAACACGAAGAATGAGATTAGGGCTTCTCATCGATAAAGTCACTCCTGATTATTAGATTTGAAAAGCAAAGCGGCCTAGAGACATAGTACTTTCTTATAATGTAGCTCACATCAATTGACTAATATTTCGAAAGAAATACAATTATCAGAAGTTGGGCTTATCAAGAAAGAATTAGAAGTTGAAAAAGAAGAAATAAAAAAAAAAATTTGAGACTTTATGAGAAGGTGGGATAGTTGAAATATGAAGCAGAAATACAAGGAAGTAGATTGGAAAAGATCATAAAAAAATGAGATATGGCCAACAATGATTTGAAATATCTGCACCAAGAAAATAAGAGATTATTTATTTATTTTTTTTCACTCCTTTTTGGCTTTCTCTTAAATAATTACACTATATATTTTTTTGGTAAGAAAAAATTCAAGGTAGATAGGCTGCTAAGTCCCCAGGTTAGGGTAAGATGTGCCGTACTTGATAGCCTAAGATAGGTGGCTGCAGGTTATGCATTCGAGATAACCTCAACAAGTGGCCTCTGGCAGGACTCGAATCCAAGACCTCTTCGTTGAGGAGGACAAGCCTTAACCGATTGAATCAATTACTTGTGGGTTACAATATATTTTAGTTGTTAGAATATTGGGCTTAATGCATTTATTAAAGGAAGAGCAATAAACTATTGGTTAAGGCACATGGGTAATTTTATTCTTTTCTAGCCTAATGAAGTTTAGAAGAAGGCCCCAAAAGACTAATTAAGGATGGACTAGTCCCGTATTTTACTAGAGAAGCAAACTTGGTGAATTTGAGATGCTTTCAATTAAAACTATAGATTGTTTGTTAAACGAAATATTTTTTCTTGGGCACTGCTAAATGGTCCCAAAAGGTCATTCAAAACTAGAGGCCTGTTAAGACTTGAGACATGGGAACAAAGTGTATAAAGTGCATATTAGAGGTGTTATTACGGATATACATTTGGATCAAATCATTTTGAATTGAAAAAATTTAAATCATTTTAGATTAATTTGATTTTAACATTAAAATTAGTCGTGATTAAATTTAAATTTCAAAATTTTAAAATCAAATTAATTTAATTTCATGTTATTATTTTGGGGTGTTCGAATAATTTTAAATTCAAGTTAATTCAAATTGGAATCATTTTAAGTTTTGATTATTGATTTATTTTACCAAATTCAAATTTGAGTGAGTTAGATTTTTTGGGTTAAGTTCAGTTTGACCAACTATAGTTGCAATAAAAGGGATTGTCCAATAGTTGGATGGTTTGATTATTCACAAATAGTATAAAGATAAAATAATTATAAACTTGATTATTTTTTTGGCAAAGCCGAATTATCTTATGTGACATTTTAACATTTCTCGTAATAACATGGAATTTTGGAATTTCTAACATTCTTTTATTTTCGTTTAAGTTTGATTATGGAGGCTTATAGACAATGGTTAATAATAATTAATTTAATTTAAACATTTTTTTAAAATATATTATTCTAAATTGCGGAAAGGAAAAAATATTAATTATTATTATTATTATTATTATTTTATAAATATTGACTTAACCAATAGAACTCGTATCAATAGATACGAACAAATTTTTAACAAATGTATATAGTTAAAAACTACTTTGAACTATTAATTTTGTCACTTGAGAGGAGAATAGTTAAAAAAACCCTTTTGCTGATACGATAATGATCACTAAACAAACTTTTGTCTCATAAAGAATGAAAAGCAAAAGTTTGTCGACCTTCACTTTTCATAATTAAATGCAATCAAAATCGCCTGAAAGTTTAGTGGTTTACCAGATAGTTACGTACGCCAGTACGAATCAGGCACCGCCTACCAGCCAAAACTGGCACCAACAAAACATCTTTATTCAAGGCTAGCTCCCTTTATCTCTCTCAATCTAAAAACTTCTTTATTTTTGTTTGTACAGGTATATTATATAATAATCTCATTTATCGGTGGAGCCTTTGATTGCGATGTAAATTGATTTAATAAAGAGTCAATTGATAAAAGTAAATATTTAATAGTTAATTAATATACAACAAAATAAAAAAATTTGATGATTATTAATTTTTTTTTACCTTTTTAAAAAAGTGTACTTAAGTTTTTAATAATCTTTTTGCAAATTTACTATAGCGATGCAAAGCCATACATAATTAATTTAAATTTGCCTCTTTGGATGCAGCATTATGTGGTGCACAACGGGAAGAGATAATGATCGATCACTATAAGGATTTTATTGAGCTTAATTTATATGTTTTCGTTAGTTTTTCATCAAGCCCTTCTCTGAGAAGGGTTTGGGAGGAGGTGGAGGGGAGCTCATGTTTGTGGTTTATACAAATTAAATTCAAGGTACTAGAACCAATGTTGATAATTTTATTTTAGTATTAGTTGTATCTGTGGACTTCAATTTGTCTAGAAGTATAAAATACAAAGTATAAGTATAAAATATGAAATATAATAAAAAATATGAAAAAAAAGAAAAAAAAGAACAGAACAAAAAAATTGAGGATGGCAGTGGTGCCATCCCCGGCACCACTGCTACCATCCGTGCCACCAAACCCACCAAACTGTACACCCCATCCTTCTGATCCCCAGACCATGCCCTTCTCCCCAAACACACATGGTTGGAGCTCTATAAATAAAGCTCCTAGCAAAGTAAAAAAAAAAAGGGAGAAAAGAGGAGAGACGCTGTAAAAAAAAAACATAAAAAATAAACACAGTCTTTCCCGTAGGGAAGAACCCAGCACCGAGTTTCCTGCACGAAGAAGAAAAAAAAAGGAGTCAGTTTCAAAATAAAAAAGAGACTCATAACACAAAAATATATAGTTTCACCGAAACTTCACCAGCAGATCTAGGGATTTTGAGACTCTTTTCGATGAAAAGGAGGTCAGATCTGTGTTTAGGGGGTCGAGAAGAGTTTGTGAGAGAATTTTGGAATTTTTTGACACCGTCGATGGCGGTCGGAGCTCGTCGTCAGCAAGGACTGTGGCGGCCATCACGACGGATGGCCGTCGACCCCAGGTCGTCTGAAAAAAAAATAAAGGAAGAAGGGGTTTTCGGAGGAAGGAAATAATGAGTAAAAATTTTTTTTTTGAACCTTTTATATAAACGCTCAAAACCAAAACGACGTTGTTTCATTAAAAGCCCAAAACGACGCCATTTTAAGAGCCCAAGATCCTCCCTTCAACCAGTGACCCGAGTTGGGGTCCGCGTACCTGACCCGACGACCCGTTTCTTCTTCAGCCATTGACTGGTCTGATTGGACAGGAATTGAACCGCCAAGACCGAACTGAATCAATACTGAACCGTTGAACCGTCCAGATCGAACCAAACCGTCAGACCGAACCATCGAACCGAACCACGGGTTGACCGGACCGTTGATCGGTCCGGTTCAGGTAAAAATTTTTTTTTTTGAATTTTTCTTATTTTTTTTATATTATTTTATTAATATTTATGCATATTAAAATATTTATATTTGTTAGATTAAATGATGAAATTATGGTTAAATTTTTTTTAGATAATTATGTTAATTTTTAAAATAAACTTTAAAAACAATAATATAAAAATAAACTTAATAATAATACTAAAGTAATAAAAAATGTAGGAAAAGGAAATTTTTGTCCGACGATGAGATTGAAAGGTATTCCGAGTAGTGATGCCTACGAAATCTCTAGGTGAGAAGATTTTTTAAAATACTACCAGTGTATTGGAGTATTTATAAAAAATTTTCAATACAGTAAAGATTTTCTTTTTTTTAAATAATAAATAAAAATTGGTTAATAAATTAAAAATAAGTAATAAAAATGAGAAGAAAAGAAATTTAATCCAATGATGAGATTCTAAAAGTATTTCGAGTAGAGATGCTTTAAGAAATCTCTAGGTGAGAAGATTTTTTATAAAATATTACCAGCGTATTGAAATATTTATAGAAAATCTTCAATATAATTAAATTCCTTTTTCTTCAAAATTTCAATAAGAATATTAATAAAATAATTAATAAAATTTCTAACAAAAGAGAGTAAAATGTGCGCATAAACATGGTAACATATTGCATTGCATGCATGACATTTTGTTCGAAAAGTAAATTTGAGCTTCCGAGGATGAGATTCTAAGGTATTCCGAGAAGCGATGCCTAAGAAATCTCTAGGTGAGAAAAAGTTCTTCTAATATTACTAACGTACTGGAACATTTTAAGAATTATTTCAATAAAAATGTTTTAATTTATTTTTATCGAGAATAAATTTTCTTTTTTTTAATAAATAAAAAATCAAGGGAATTATTTTTTCGAACATCGAAAATTGGACTATTTTTATCAAAATCAAAGGATAACACGTTGTTAATTGGTACTGTTTTTTTTACTGACGTTGTGGGGGTGCTAATCCTTCCCCACAAGTAACCGACTCCCGAACCCAGGCTGTTTCATAGACCGAAAAATTATCTTTTTAAATAAATTTTAATTAATTTGAAAACTTTATTAAAAGGATATGTTTTAATAGGTGGCCAATCACAGCTAGCCAAAAAAGATTGGTGGCGACTCCATTTTTTTATTTCGTTTTCAAATTCGTCGGGCAAACACAAAACCGTTATGACAGCTTGGTGACTTCGTTGGGGATGCCTTTTATTTTCGAGAGTCAGGCCAAAATTAACTACTTGTTATCCTCAAATTTTGATTTAAACAGTCTTAATCAATTTCTTAAATTTTTATTTTTCATTTTTAGTAAAAAAAGTAAAAAAAAAATAAAAAAAAAAACAAGACAAATCAAAAATAAAAAGTAAAAAAATTCACAGACATTTCTTTTACTATGCCTCTTATGTTTTATTTTTTTTTGTATATATTGCTCTCAATAAATTACGATATATTTGCACACAATGGCACGATGCATCTTATATATGAGCTCTATACCCGAGCTCCATCCTTTATAGGAGGAAGCAAAGTGCCTATACTCTCGTGAGGTGATAACCTCCGCAATGGCAAGTGAAATACTTCCACTCGAATTAAACCCTTTTTCGTTTGTAGCCTGTAATGGGTGAGGATCGGGGTGCCTTACTAGTCCAACATGGACGACAGTGAGAAACAATTTGGGAACCTTTAGACCCTATCAATCCAAACCCAACATATAATAAGCCTAGGAAACCAGCCTTATGTAGAGCCCCATCCATATTCTTGTAGAAAGTACTTAAGAATAAAAGTTGTGTATAATACTAAACAAAACAAAATAAACAAAAAATCTCAAAACAAAAAAAAAAAAAACTAAAAGAAAACAAAAAAATGTTTTTTCTTAAACCACATCCTCACACTAACTCAATTTTGTTTCGTTTCCTTTTTTTGCATTAATCATATCATACAGTTTTGCATCGAGATATTTGCTCTAGGACATATTTCTCCCAAGAAGTTTTCATGAATCCTATAGAACTACAGATTTGCTCATCCTTAGTCAGTGTGCCATGTGAGTCGTATAATGAAATTCATGTTTGGTCGAAAGAAGCTCAACAAAAGAACGGAGATTGTTGCCTACCAGTTATGTGTCTGAGTTACCCGAAAAAGTGCATTTAGATCTCACAGAAAATGATTTAAAAGAGTTAGCTGCTGTCTGGGGTCAGTTAAGTGAGGAAAGAAAAGAAAGCTTTTACAAAAAGTATGGACAGATTGCATCCCTCATTTCAGTAGTGATCAATGAACAGTTGGTCAAAGCAGCTATACAGTTTTGGGATCCATCCTATAGATGCTTCACTTTTAATCAGGAAGATTTGGTGCCAACTATCGAGGAGTATTTGATTTTGCTCGGGATAAGACTACAATGTCCAGATAAAGTATTTACATGAAAGCCAAAATCAGGTTATCGTAAAAAGTTAACCAAGCTTATAGGGGTTAAAGTAGAAACCATTGATTCTTTTGTGAAGTCTAAAGGTGAACATCTCAGCATTCGTTGGGACTTTCTCTGAAACTTCATTTAAGAGCATTTGGATAATGATCAAGGTATGGATGTGTTTGCTCTAGCATTGTATGGCATGGTAATCTTTTCAAAGACTTTGGGTTACATTGAGATAACTGTGGTAGACTTTTTCGAGCAAATTAAAACCCAAGCAATTAATCTCACTCCAGCAGTCCTAGTCGAAACCATCAGGTCATTGAATTTTTGTCGACGAAATGGGAAAGGACGATTCATAGGATGTGTATCTCTATTATACGTATGGGTCAGAAGTCATTTCAAATGTAGGAAAAGTGCATTTTTGAAACCATATCTTTGAAATAAGGCACCACTCGAAGAGTTTTGTAAAAGCCAATGGCCGACATTAAAGACTAAGGAAGAATGGGTCCTTTTCTTGCGAAGGCTTACTGGGGATGAAATCAAATGGATGGCACCTTGGATGCCTCGTGTGCCTTTGTTGTATCGTAGAGGAAATGAGCCATGGATTCCATTATTAGGGCTATGGGGCATTGTAAGTTACGCTCCATTGATGGTACTTAGGCAATTTGGTGCAAAACAGTTTGTTCCTGCTACTCATGGCTTGGTCTAAGTAGAATTCATTTATGGGGATTCGAATCCATCAAGAACCTTGGAACAGTTGATCTAAGCATGGAAGAGAACATAAAGAATGAGGTTAGGGCCTCTCATCAACAAAGTCACTTCTGATTACTAGATTTGGAAAACAAGATGGCCTAGAGACATAGTACTCCCTTATGATGATAGCTCATATCAATTGGTTAATCTTTCAGAAGATGTGCAATTATAAAAAATTGAGCTTGTCAAGAAAGAATTAAAAGCTGAAAAAGAAGAAATAAGAAGGGAAAATTTGAGACTTCGCGAGAAAGTAGAGCAATTGAAATGTGAAGCGGAGATACAAGGGAGTAGATTAGAAAAAGTCATAAAAGAGCAAGATCTGACTAATAGTGATTTAAAAGATCTACACCAGGAAAATAAGAGGTTACGAGTTCAATTCAAAACTAGAAAAGTTACCAAGTCTTACTTTAGTCGACAACGTGAAATGGATGAGCTCCGAGAGAGAATAAACCAATGAAAGGGCAAAGCTCAAGAAAAGCAAGAGGAGACCATCAGAATTTCTCAAGAATGTCAGAATTGGAAGGGATTATACTCTACAACCTTAGCAAGATTGGTGGAATACCAAAACGAAAAGGAAAAGTTGAAAGTCATGCTCGTAAAAGAGAGAAAAAAACACTTCAAAGTACTGAATGAAAAAGAATCACTTCACCAAGTGATCCAAGGGTTAGAGATACAACTACAAGACCATAAGAGCCATATTTCAGTAATGATAAATGAGTGACATAAAAGGAAAAAAGATTGGATCTTCACATATGATTCAGAAAGGGATGCTCACATGAGATGGAAGACAGAAAGCTTAGAGAGGTAACAGTACATAGAGCACTTGACTAATCAAGTTTGCAAGGCAGTGAAGAAAGCATGGGAGTTGGTTGAAAAGATAAAAGAATTAAGAAGAGAAGTCAATCCCATAGGAGAATATGGACAACGCCTAGTGAACTTTCTAGATAAGGCGAAAGACCATTATGAGCAAATCAAACGCTTCTATGGATATAACTTTAGGATGGTAAATCCTATGTAATAAAAGTTGTATGGGATCAATAAAAATTTTTAATGTTAAAATTAGTCCAAGAAAAAATATTTTCCACTTGCATTCATGCATCATATACATCATTTTTCATAAAATAAGTAAAAAATAAAATTTTAGTTTTTTCTTTCTTTCTTCTTCAAAATAAAAGCTTTGTGGTAATAAAGGTTCAAGAATAGCTCACCCATCAAAAATTTTGGCCCAACCTAATCGTCATTCATACAATACTAAGACACAAATAAGAATCATGAAGCAAGAACAGGCCAGTCGATTTGAAAGAATTGAGAAAGCTCAAGAAGAACTAAGGGGGGATCTTAGCACAATAATGGATATACTTAAGAAACTTGATAAGGGAAAAGCAGTGGAAAAAAATCCTAGCTTTCAAGAACAATCGCTAGATATGATAGATCCTGTCTATCCTCCAGGGTTTAAGGCACAACTGAACCAACCTTCACAAGGAACTAGAGTACCAATTCCTACTCCTGGTGGATATCCTAATCCTTATCCAGGAATGACATCCACACTTGCTCCAGGATAAGTTTAAAATTTTGTTAATCCCATTACGATGAAAAAACCACCAGAGCCAATCTTAGTTTCTGATTTGGATGATCCAAGGAAAGAGAAAAGCTAGGGATACAGACACCTGAAAAGGTAGAAGATACCAGTGCCCGAAAGAAGATGAAGTTATTGGAAGAAAAGCTTAGGGCTGTAGAGGGAATGAATTTTTATGGCTCCACAGATGCGACTAACCTTTGTTTAGTT